TGTTATGAACTTATTTTTGTTTTAAAACAATATGTATATGCATGTATATATCAAAAAGTCTGGAAGGCTATACACCAAACTGCTAACCTCTGGGTGGTAGAATTATTGGTGATTTTCATCAGCCTCCTCTTTATACCTTTCTGAATTATCTGAATTTGTTTTTCCGCTAAGCATTGATTATTTTTTTTACATTGAGCCTTATTACTTTTATCACTAAAAAGGTTATTTTACTTTGGAAAAAAACCATGTGTAGAACATGGAATTGACAGCATATTTAGCTCAAGATAATTTGCATTTATAAAACAAATCTTAATTTTTCTTAAATAAATCTTAATTTTTCTTATAAATCTTAATTTTTCAAGGGGAAATATTAATTTTGAAAGACAGTATAGAAAAGTGGTTAAAAGAATGGGATTTAATCAGAGCTAGATTAAAATCCTGGTTTCATCACTTACTATCCATGTGGCCTTGGTCAGTTCCATTACCTTCCTCAACTTCCTCATTTTAAAGTGGTAAAAAGGTAATGTAACAAAACTATTGATCTGCAGAACAGTCCTAACATATATATATTCATCCATTCATTCACCCATTTGTGTCAATGCAACCACATATTGTATTTTATATATATGTGTATATACAGAAAACATAAAATGTATTTTATAACATCAAATTTTATTAGAAAAATTGCATAAGTAAAATAACAATGAGTTAATGCATGTAGACAGCCTGGCCCTATTAAGGACCCATGACGGTAACTGTCACTGCTGTCAATAATACCAATAAATCAAAATCCAAGAAGAAATAAAATACTATCATGAAAAAATTAGTTTTTCAAAGAATGACTAGGGGACCAGTGAAAGACAAACCCAATACCTCAGTTCATTCTACAACGCCTGTAGCAATTTCCCAAACACCCCTGCCAACTAGGTATTTATTATGGCTATGAAACATGTCATTACTAATATGCTCACAGGACTACATAATAATCTGTCACAGAACACAAATGAAAGCCACTTCTCATTATAACCAGCTTAAACTAAGTTTTGGAATATTTATACACCAAGTTTTTCTTTCTATGGGAATACAGTTTATACCGGTATATACCCAGGAGACTTGAAAGCAGAAACGAAAACAGCACATGTACACTGCAGCACTATTCCCAGTTGCCAAAAGATAGAAACAACCTAAATGTCCATCAACAGATGAACAAACAAAACGTGGTACACACATATGATGGAATATTACTCAGTTATGAAGAGAAGTGAAGTCCTGATACATGCTACAACATGGATGAACCTTGAAAACATGCTGAATGAAGTTAAGTCAATCACAAAAGGACAAATATTGTATGATTTCATTCATGTGAAGTATCTAGAACAGGCAAATGTATATAGAGATCAGAGTTTAATAGTGGTTACCAGGGGTGGGAGGAAAGGGGGAAGGGGAGTCATTGTTTAGGAAGCAGTGAGTTTCTGTTTATGGTGATGGAAAATTTGGCAACAGATATTGGTGATGCTTGCACCACATGATAAATGTAATCGATGCTACTAAATTATACTTGTGAAAAGTGTCAAACTGGCAGATGTTGTGGTATGTACATTTTTACAACAATAAAAAAAAATTTTATGTATGTAGACCTGACTCTTTTGACCTACACTTTCTAACTCTTCTGATTAATCTGTTCCTATTGCAGCCTCTATGTGTGTATTTTAGTATTTGACACACTGTATTGCAATCATTCACTTATCAATATCCCCCCCTCAACTATGAGCTGCCAGAGAGAACGCACCATATTCTATTTATTTCTGTAGCCCCAAAACACAGGCCAGTACTTAGCACATCTACAAAAATCCCACGTTAGTAGCCTAAGTGTGGCTTTGATACCATTTTTACTAGCTGCACATGGGTGGTGAATATTACAATACCATTACTGGTCCATGACCCATTCCTTTAGCTACAAGACATCCCAAAACCACCATCACAACCAGGGAAGGCACAGGTAGAAAGAATATTCAATAATAGTTAACCTCACTTTGTAGGACTGCCCTCAAAACCTTACTTAAACACTATAATATGTGGTGTATACCAAAAAACAAAACAAAACAAAACAAAAACAAAAACCAAACCCGTTGCCGTCCAGTTGATTCTGACTCATGGCCACCCCATGTGTTTCAGAGTAGAACTGCTCCATGGGGTCACAGGGTTTTCTTGCCTGTAATCCTTACGGAAGCAGATCACCAGGCCTTTCTTCTACTGCACCACTGGGTGGGTCTGAACTGCCAACCTTTAGGTTAGCAGTCGAGCACAAACCTTTTACGCCACCCAGGGACTTTATGTGGTGTACAGGGTTTTTTTTTTTTTAAAGTTTAATAAAGCTTATATCACATCATTCTACCTCAGCTGGTATACACTGTGGGAAACTAAATTACAAGACAGCACCACTTTCATAGTATATACAAGAATAAAGGAAAAATATGAGGCACTGTAAATCATTAACAGCATAAAATAATCAAGTTTTACCAGAAAACTTCACTACAATACAACTACAGTGTCCAGAAGGGGCACGACCACACAATTTATATACTTTCCCACACAGAAACTAATAGGATCAGTTATTAATGGCATTTTAAGAATGTTACAGTATAATTACAAAATGATACAGGTTAATATTTAAGCAGACATCAAGTCTCTTAAAATGAGTATTTACGAGATTAAGTCTCTGTTTTATTAGACATAAAAAATGTTTTGGAAGTAAACTTAATGGGAGGTGTAGAAATACAGATGACCCTAACCTAAAACTAGATAACAGAATTACTGATATTTTTTATTCTTTTAGGAGACCTTTTACCTAATAAATGTTCATCGACTTGAGTTCTGTACTAGTACTTACCACCCCAGCCCCCACACAGCTGCTTTGGATGTCTTCCTTAACCTATCAAGACAAAGGAGTTAATTCAAATGTCACTAACTTATCAACTGTCCTTGAAGAAAGAGTTAAAACGATAGTAAATCAAAACCAAACCCGTTGCCATTGAGTCAATTCCGACTCATAGCAACCCTACAGGACAGAACTGCCCCACAGGGTTTCCAAGGAGCAGCGGGTGGATTTGAACTGCCGACCTTTCTGGTTAGCAGCCGAGCTCTTAACCACTGAGCCACCAGGGTACTGCACGACAATCTTGACTCTCTTAAAGTAATAGTAGTCTTCTAGCGTACCAACCCCTTTCTTCGGAGCAGAAAACACAAGAAGCTCAAGTTCCAAGAGAAGTTAACAGTAACTGGTTCAACCTGGCTACCGAGGAAATACACATTAAGGATCTGTACTCTATGCAAATACTGACAACAACTCCATCTAGAAATGCCTACTACCCAGGAACCAGGAAAATGGAAAAAAGACCTCAAGAAGCAAACACTCAATGGCTGAAAAGTACAGGAGGAAACAAGGTCAGTTTAGAGATGAGAAGGAATCAGAGCTAGATGAAACTCAGGACAAATCAGTGAGCTCCCCAGAAAGAAGCAGACTGAGGTGGTGGGAGAGAAAGGACCACCACTGGCAGTGGATGAGAGTGGAATGAAAAGGGAAAGAGGTCAGGAGTAGAAGAGGAAGGAACTAGAGAGGTGAAGGAGCTGAGTTACAAGAGACAACAATAATAGGAGTGGAGGGCACAAACTAGCAAGGAGACACACCCAAGTAAATAGAAAAGAAAGTATTTTAAATGGAAGGTTGAATCACAGAAAAGGCAAATACCAATAAACCAAACAAGAAATTCTGGAGAGGTGAGAAGGAAGGTAAAAACGGGACCAGGTGATCACAGACAGGGCAAAAGGCAGGAAAAAGGAATGAAGCAAAACAGGCCTGTTGGGGACGGAAATATTAAAGACCAAACGCTTTATGGAATTTTACCTCATTCAATTAAATTAAAAATCTGTCCTTTTGCTTATATTCCCCCTTGCTGGTAAATCTTGATTTATAAGAACAAAAGCTTTCTTTAATTTACTGAGGAGAAAATCATTAAGGAGGTCGACTGGCTTAGTCACAACAAGAGTCAAAACAAACTGTACTCATGTCAGTTAATTCTCTTAACTCTAATTCACAGACAAATTTCATACTGAAAATGTGTATAAACACCTTATAGATTACTTAACGACTGACTGTTTCATTTGTTTATTACAAAACTTTCTCACTGGAGTGTGTGCATGGCTGCTCTCTCTGCTTACCATCATTTGGAATTTCCTGCTTCTTAATACAACTCCAAAAACAGAAAGGGCAAGGTACAAAGGTAACATTTAATCAATATTGCTACTTCTAAGCACTTCTAAAAAGAAGTCTGACAGAGGTTTAAAACAGTAGTTAAAAGATTTTGTACATTTTCTAGAAATTTCTACCATCCATACTATTCGGGTCCCAGATAACTGAAAACAAGAGCACAAGGGATCACCTTTCATTTCCATCTACAAAATGAGAGCAAGGAAACACTGAACAAGAGCATAAAGAGAGGGAAGAAGATCAAGGCTGCCAAAGAATGGAAATTATTCTACTCTTAATCCTATAAAATAACCTAGGGTAGAACAGCAACCATACCAAATGTCTATTTATGAAAATATAATATTTATTTTTAAACTGAAAAGAAAAGAAAACAAAACATGGTAATCAGATCCTCGCTGCCAAAAAACTGTTTAAGGAAAAAGTAGGCATATACAGAGGCTGGGAGTATATAAAGGAAGATTAAACGAAAGTTGCAATTAACGTGAACAAGCAGCAGCATGTTCTTATGAAGAAGCAATCATCAATACACCACACTTTTAGAAATTAGTGAAAGTCAATTTCTGGGGCCTGACATCCCCAAAGAATTGGTACTATTTTTCCCCCTATTTCTGTTATTCACTATCTCTCTATATAGAATAAAATTCTAAGTAGATTACCTGCTGTTGCAGTAGAGGAAAATAACTTTTTTATTACAAAAATGGATGGATTAACAAAGATAATGTAAGAAACGTACAAAGAAATTTGCTAGAATCTTGTCACACATATTTTCAGAACCATCTTCTTCTCAGCTGCTTGAAAATCCTAAATGGCATTGGAGTCTCTTCTTGAAATTTGCCTTTTCTTCAGTTTTTTTTTTTTTTTTTAAACCATTCTTCCATAATATCATAATAAGTCCCTCGGCCATATATTCCATTCACAGATATCTGACTTATTATTTTCTTCCGGAAAGGGTTGCTGCTTCACAGGTTTAGAAGACCTCTTGAAGGCGCAAACCTGGTCTTTGGTCTCCACTGAGGACATGCTGAAACTAGGTTTATCCCTCATATTCGAGGGTGACATGGAAGCCAAATTATGTTTCCAAGGTAAAATGCCTAAAATAAAATAAAATAAAGTTAAAATCAACCAGAACAAAACAAAAACCTAAACCTAATAATGCAATGTAAATTCTCACACAATATACTTTAGCAAAGCCTGAAAAGTAAGTAATTGAAATCAAAAAAAATTTAATCTTTCATTTCAGTTTTATACTATATTTTAAAAAATTTAAAAGGGCCTCACAAGGTATGTAATAAAAAAAATACTGTAAATAGTCAGTAGTTCCTAAAATTAATTTTAAAAAATCAACTAAAATTATAAAGAAATTCAGATGGACTGACTTTTTGATCTTTCTATGACTAGGACAGAAGACAGAGTTTGAGAAAACCCTATTTCTCTGCATTCATATCTTACTTGGAAATGGAATGAACAAGCCTGGTTTACATTCAGCTATAAAATGAGTCATAGAGTTGAAGATCTGGAAGATTTCTTTCAGCTATCAAATTCTGAAATTACATTTTACCTGGCGATAACATCTTGGTACTACTGAACCAGCTTTATGCAAGTCATTTCACTTTGTCCCAATTCTCTTATCTAAAAACTTCTTGTTGCCGTTGAGTCATTCTGACTTCATGGCGCAGAGCAGAACTGCTCCGTAGGGTTTTCTAGGCTGTGGCCTTTCAGAAACAGATCTCTAGGCCTTACTTCCGGGCGCTTCTGGGTAGGTTTGAACAGCCAGCCTTTTGGTTAGTAGTCTAGCACTTAACTATCCGTGGCACCCAGGCAGCTCTATCTGTATAACACAGGGGTGATTCTTCTCACAGGTGGAAGTGGTACCAGAAGCACTTGAGAAAGGTATAAAATACCAATGCCCCGGCCCACTCCAGCTCTAATGAATCAGAACTTCTGTGTTCAGGCCCAGACATCTGTTGCTTTTGTAATAAAACCAGGTCATTCTGATGTGCACGCCTGGTTACAAAGCAACCATATTCAGGGTCCAGCTCTACAACCTTAAAATTCGTAAGTGGTGCTGTAAGGTTCTACTAAATTATCTCGGCCTGATAGGCTTAAAAATAAATGAGTCAGCCTATCATTTTCTTTCTCAAAAAACACATGTGAAAGGGAGAGCCTGAAATTAAGATCAAGGCTAACACGCCGATTGGATAAACACGTCAATATAGGTTATTTTAACCTGGATTTTCCAAATTATTTCCTCGGATATTTAAATAGAACACAAGCTGTAGGCCAATATTCATAATTGTAAGTTGCTTCTCTGACAGGCCATCTTAAAAGATGTGCTGATGTTAAAATAACACCGGAACATGTCATTTTTTTACAGAATCAAATTATAAAGCTATTCTAAAGATAAATTACATGATCTCCTACCCAGTGGAAATGATCTGTAGTACAGAATACTATACCTGCAAGGTATGTGTCCTCTCTGGCTGCTAACCAGGTTTGTGGCCCATGCTTGATTCAAGGACACTTCCTCCTCTGATTTCTGGACAGCGAGTGTGGAGATGTACATACTCCCATCTCTGTAGAGTCATTTAGATTAAGCAACTCTGTTGATGCCCAATGCCCCCAAAATAATATTGTCGGCTCCAACAAAAGGTATACGTAATTGGGCTTTCAGAAAATACCATTTTTCCCTTCAGCCAAAGATTAGACAGGCCCATAAAACAAAACAAGACTAAATGGGCACTCCAACCCAGGGGCAAGGATGAGAAAGCAGGAGGGGACAGGAAAGCCAATAATGGGGAACCCAAGGTTGAAAAGAGTGTTGACACATGGGGTTGGCAACCAACGTCACAAAACAATATGTGTATTGTTTAATGAGAAACTAACTTGCTCTGTAAACCTTCATCTAAAGGACAATTAAAAACAAACCATTTTTCTTCATCTTGCTGTATTTTGTTTGCAGACCCTCATCTAAATGACTATTTCAGGTTTGTCACCAAATCAATGGCACAATTTTAATTTTTTTTCCCACCAAAGAAATATTATATTATTTGGTTTGAAGAGGTCTCCTTGCCTCAACAGTGTTCACTACTGCTCAGTACAAGCTGAAAAAGTGGATCAAGATTCCACATAATGAAAAAGCAAGCGGACAGAATGGCACCAGGAACCTTTAGGACACCCACATTCTGGTAAATTACTACCACTAGGGTTTTAAATCTAGTGTTTAAGAAAGAAAGGCAGTAAGATGTCAAGTGTCATTTACTATTATTTTATTTGGAGTAAGTTTATTGGTATTAAATTAGTGTCTTATACAGTCACTGTCCTACGTCCGGGTGAATCACTGTCCTAGCACTGAACTTCTACAAAGAGTTATAAGCCACATTCAGCTCTGAGATTCAAAATTCAGTTTCTATCCACTTGTTTTTAGTCATCTCAAAATAGTGTCCCCTTAACCACTGCATTAGCAACCTCTTCTCTCTAGAAAATCTAGCAGTTTCTGCAATGCAGAGTCACTGCAATCTTTCACGTTACTTTGAAATTTAAAAAAGAACATCTTGTACAGAAGAGAAAGTAGCCTCAACTTTCAGATCCCCCTTCCAAGTATAAAGTAAAACTCTACAGAGAAACCACACTGACTCTGGAGCCAGACTGCCAGGGTTTACATCCAGTCTTCACTACTTATCACGTGCATGACTTTGGGCAAGCAGCTTAATTACTTTGCTTTGCCTCAGTTTCCTCATTTGCAAAGTGGGGATAATAATTGCACCTACTTCAAAGGATTGTTGTGAGATTCTAATAAATTAACATGTAAACGCATCTGGGGCAGTGTCTGGCACATTTTAAGCACTACATCAATGTTAGCTATTATTATTATTTTGTTTGATTTAGCTCCAAATTCTCATACAGTGTCATGTGTGTCAACAATGTTTGCCCAAATAAAATACCATCTACTTGAAGACTGGTTCCACATTTTAATATCTTGGATGTTTTCCCATGGAATATAATATTCTCTCAGTCAGTATACATAAACAAACAAACAAAAAAAACTCGTTGCCGTCAAGTCAATTCCAACTCATAGCAACCATATTTCCAAGGAGCGGCTGATGGATTCAAACTGCTGACCTTTTGGTTAGCAGGTGAGCTCTTAAGCACTGTGCCACCAGGGCTATTATTGTACTGGATACCAAGGAAGTTTTCAAAACTAGTACTGTATATAAATATATATTCCCTGCCCTCCAGTGGCTTGTATTTTAGATGAGGAAACAAGACACGTGAAACCCTTAAATATAAAGGATAAAAGATTAAATGCCAGCGTGTGGTATAAAGTGCTAACTTTCCAAGAGCTCACTGTGGGCTGCTGACTTGGTGGAGAAGGCTTGAGTGGCGTGGGTCCTAAAGATGAGTGGGATCTTCACGAGTGCAAGGAAGAGGGAAGGGGATTTCCGATGTGTTTGTTCATTGCATATGTATTTAAGGAGCACCATACATAAGCCAAGGAGCCCTGGTGGCACAGTAGTTAAAGCACTCAGCTGCTAACCAAAAGGTTGGCAGTTCAAACCCACCAGCCACTCCACTGGAGAAAGATGTGGCAATCTGCTTCGGTAAAGATTTACAGCCTTGGAAACCCTATGGGGCAGTTCTACTCTGTCACTGGGTCACTATGAGTCGGACTCAAGTTGAAGGCAATGGGTTTGGGGATTTGGGGGGTTAATAAGGCTTTGCTTATATACCCTTGTGCTTTGCTCACCTCTCCCCATCTTTTTTCCCTTTTATACTTCATCCACTAGCAGCTGCCCACAAATATCAAAGCTGGGGAAGTACCTGAGATGCATGTGGTGGCAAGAATCAGTCACAATGGGTAAAATTATTAACTCGAAAAGAAAACATGTGCATCTTTTTCTTTTTACATATTTCTGTAGATAACAACTCTCCATTCACCTCTTCCGCAAAGACAATGTCCTTAGGTAAAGGAACCCTCTTATAAATACTGACTGGCAAAGCATTCTCAATCTTCTCCCCTTCCCAACAATGGACCGCTAGAAGCAGAAGACAGGTAGGTCTAAAATGCTCTAATCACAAATAAGACACACCTCCAAGCATTTCCTTATCCTCTCCAGTCCTTCCAAAGGCATCCACTCTCACAGGAAGCAAACTGTTACAATCACACCATCACACGTGGAATATCAGTGTTTAATTTTGCCTATGTAAATCATTAAACTGTACCTTTGAAAACAGTCAAAATAAACTTTTTGATTAAGGAAGCCAAAATTACTTAATGAAATCCAGTTAAAAACTTAACTTCTTAATGCACAAAGTACTAGACTCAAAACCGAGCACACGCTTAAGAAATTTAAAAGCAAACTGAAAAATTAAATAGGGCCCCTACAATTTAGATAATCTAACAGTCTTAACATTCATATGCTTATGAAATTGTGCTAGACTCATCAGCTAAGTAACAGTCAGCCCATTATTTTTTTAATTCCTTAGTTTGGTATTGGAAAATTAGTCTTCATATTTCATTGTCATTTTTTTACCCTTAATTAGGAATGTCACTTAGAAATTAAATATGGAAAGGGGGCCATTTAAGAAGGGGTCGTTAAGCCTTTTCCCAACATTTACCTTTTTCCAATGTTCTGAAGGGAGCCCTGATGGTGCAGTGGTTAAGAGCTACGGCTGCTAACCAAAAGTCAGCAGTTCAAACCCACCAGCTACTCCTTGGAAGTTCTAGGGGGCAGTTCTACTCTGTCTTATAGAGTTGCTATGAGTGGCAATGGGTAGGGGTAGTAGTAATGTACAGATATAGCCTGTTCAATGCTAATGGGGACTTGATAAGTTAGACAGAGGTCTGAAAACTACTGAAAAGCCCAAATAAAGGGACTGATTGCAGTTCTACAAATTTTTAAAGCCACCGGACAACTTGAAAAATACACTAATTTACTCAGTCATTTTATATTGCCATCACCTTATTTTACAAAAGCAGAAACAGCAGTATTTAATGTTTATATTCCACATTCGGAAATGTTCAGATAAGTTCATGTATTCAAATATTTTTGAGCAACCTATGCTTATGCAAAAAGTTATCTCCAAAGATTAAATCAGGTAAGCCTGTAGACCATTTGGCACAGTCCTGGCAAACAAACAGTACATTGGCTATTATTGTTCCTAATTTTCCAACTTTTTGTCCCAGTAGACTAAAATCTACTACTTTGGTAAACTATATGGTTATCAAATTATACGTATTATTACATGCAATATATAAGTAAACCAATATATTAATCAGATAAATTAATATGCTATTGTACCAAGTAATGTTCTTAATCTAGACAAAGGTGAGTCTCATTGAAACAGAATGGTTTTTAAAGAAGCAGACAAAACTTGCTACAGGGTACAGTATTAAATATTAGCTCTTATCTCTGTCAATTAATAATACTACATCTACATGATCTAGTATGAAATATAATTAGCAGCCTGCTGATCCAACTGTACTTGCTCATAATGAATTAAAACTTCAAGCACGTGTACATGTGCCCATTCAAGGCTGCAGTACCACTGAATCCGATCATTTCAATACTCATGCTGAACTACATAAATTCATCACCTTTCTCATACTGGAAAATACATTTTTCACGTCACTGAAGAAAAATTTTTTAGAAATACCCAAAAAGTCGCTAAAACTGGCAGTACTAGAACATTCTGGCCACATCTAGGTTTTAAAACACTTGATAGTCTCAGCCACGCATTATTTATTATGCTGGGGAAAATGAAAGACTAAAATAAAGACATTTTGGAAGGCATATGTTTTCTTAAGCGTTCACATAAATATTAAAAGTAACCCTACGACCTTATTAAGGAAAAAAAAAAAAAGAAAAACAACAAACTTCAAGTTTCCCAGCTTAATCGCGATTCGTGGGACAATGCACATTCCCCCCTCCCACGCCTACAGTCACACCGCGGGGCACCGAAGCGGGACGCGTAGAGGCACGAACTCTGGGGTAATGACCGGCTCCCTCTACTTCCCGCCCGGTTTTAGACAGTGCGCCGCGCCGCACACAGCTACATCCACGTGGACTTTAGGCGGGTGGCAGGACCCCCGGCCCCTCCCGCCGGGGCCCCAGCTCCG